GAAATAAAAGGTAATTTTTCAATTCACTTGATGATGGTGTGTTTGCTGTTTTTATCTATTTTCTATCAGTCTGAATTCATTACAGATTCTGATCATATTTAGTTGTTTTTTTTATTAAAAGATTATCAGTTGATTGCCACTTGAGTGAAGTTTTTCTATATATGCTTAAAGTTCAAGTGAAACATTAAATGTGATAAAGTACCTACAGCAAAAACATTGCTTAACAGCGCCTCGTAACGGATTGCAGATCCATCAGTTATAGTTAACACCATACCCTCTGAACCCCCAGAGCACGCCTTGTACCTTAATTTTTACCTTAACTTGATAATTTTTTTTGTCTCTTCAAGCCCTAGGGCTACAACTTTGCCGAAGAAAAAATAGGAAAATTGAAAAAAAAAATCTAACCACTGGGGATTTTTACTGGTCAGTAGCCGCGATGTTTAGTAGCCAAATTTCTATTGTAAAAAAGTTTCATTTTTTAGTTACGAATTACACTTGATGTACTGACAACATCACACGAAATGAATGCGTGAAAAAGTTAAGCTTTAGGAGGAGTTTAAATCAACACACGTAACCATAATTAATTTTTTGATAACAATGAATAGCTAGTTATAGATAGTATTGTTAGTTTGATTTCAAACAGTAAATAAATCAGACGTGAAGATCAACGTTGTGAAGAAAGTTATTTCTTAAGTTATAGTTAAACCGCCAAAGATTATAGTTTCAACAACCATGGACAATGCACAAGAACAAACAGTTAACGGTAAGATTCTTTGACGAAATAAGAATAGTTTTTATACAATAATTTTCTCGGCTTTCTTTGGGTTGGGATCTCTTCTCTAGACTGTTTAAGAGAGATTTTTGATTTTATTACGTATTTTTCTTCAAAATTATGCGGTGGTCATTCAAATTATGAAGTTTTTCGAATCCGGCGTTTAATCAATACAAAAAAATGTGTCATTTTTAAATAGCTTTGTGTTTATAATTCATTAAATTTATTCTTTTCTATTGCTCTGTGTATTTCAGACATAAATGAATCAAAACCTCTAAAATTACCCTACCCAAAAAGGATATTTCTCATCATTGGAAATGAATTTTGTGAACGATTCAATTTCTATGGAATGCTAAGTACTTTTGTATTTTTTCTTCATATTAATCAAATATTACTAATGTAAATATTTATTTCTAGCAATTTTACCACTGTTTATTAAAGACAAACTGGGCTACACAGAAAACGGAGCGACTATATTATATCATACTTTCACAATGATGGTATATTCGATGTGCGTCTTTGGCGCCATAATATCAGATACTTGGTTGGGAAAATTCAACACGATTCTGTACTTATCTATCGTTTATTCGATAGGAAGTGTAATTCTTTCTATCGGGGCTGTTCCTCTTATTCATTTTTCACCAGTTATTGCTCTCTATATCGGCTTAGCTCTGATTGCTGTCGGCTGTGGTGGAATAAAACCATGTGTGTCGGCTTTTGGAGCCGATCAGTTCAGATTACCAGAACAAGCCGCACAAGTTACAAGATTCTTCTCCGCATTTTACCTTTCAATGTGTTCTGGGTCTTTAATTTCCAGTACACTCACTCCAATTCTCAGAGCAGACGTTCATTGTTTTGGAGAAAATGACTGTTATTCACTTGCGTTTGGAGTTCCTGCTATTTTAATGATCATTGCCATCCGTAAAATTTATTAAATTGTGTTTGTGATTCAAAGCCGCTGATATCCAATATTATTTTCAGTAATGTTTGTATGTGGAAAATCGTCATACACATATGTTGAAGTATCAGAAAATATGATCATAAAAATGTATAAATGCATAAAGGTTTACATATTTTGATATTTTATTTTATTTTTTGAGAATTCTTGTGACATTGAATTTATTTTTCAGCATGCAATTTCTACTAGACGATGCGCAAGGGAAACGAATCCTCGAAAAAACTTACTTGATTACTCGATAAATAGGTTTGGAACACAATTAGTTATCGACACAAGAAGAATGTTGAACATTTTGGTTCTCTTATTACCGTTTCCCTTTTTTGAGGCTTTGTTTATGCAAACTGGATCACGCTGGATATTTCAAGCGGCAAAAATGAATGGTGACATTGGCTTTTATACTATAAAACCTGATCAAATCGGAGTTCTAGAATCCTTTTCATGGCTCATACTCATTCCGATATTTGACGGCATTTTGTATCCGATTTTAAGTAAAATTGGTTTAGGAAGACCATTACAACGGATTGGCTTGGGCGGAGTTCTTGCGGGAATATCGTTTTTACTTTCAGCAGGTCTTCAATTCTGGATTGAATCATCGCCTAAAAATTCCGTAAACATTCTGTGGCAGGTGCCACAATACGTACTCTTATCTATGGGTCAAGTAATGTATAGTGTAACAGAAACCTAGGGGGTAGACACATGGAATATTACTTGAGATATTCACCGAAATT